TTCACAAATTATTGATAACTTTACTTTGAACATTTGCCAAGTAGCCAAAATGGTCAAAATATTTTAACCATATATATATAGTAAATATGGTTAGACAGTGTTGTATATAGGACATATCCATACTATATAAAATGTCTAATGTCTAAAATTGTCCAAAATTGTCCAAGTCTATATTCTATATTTAAATAATTAATAAAATAATATAAAAAATATATATAATTATATATATTTTTAGGTGCTGGATTCATTTATAAAAAAATCAAAATAGATTATCTTAATAAAATTTTGAGTAATTTTAATTTGAAAAAATGTTTAAAATTGTTCCATATACAACACTGTAGCTAGAGAAATAAGAGATTCAGATATTAGATTTGAATTTTAAAAAAATTTAAATTTGAGTCAAAATTTCAGTACTTTCTGTTGCATATTTGAAAAGTTTATCTTTGATTTCTAATTTGTTACTAATATCTAATCTGTTACTAATACTGGGTTTCTTTTTTATTACAGCATATTCAAGGTAAATTTTACAAATTTAATTTAAATTTTTTTCAAATTGGGGTCTAATATTTGTTTTTTTTTTTAAAATAAAAAAACTAAAGCTAATTCTACTTTTTGAATCTTCGTAGTTAAAATGTAAGAACCAGAAATTACCATATTATTTTTTTTGAGCTAAATTTATATATTCAAATATTTTGAATACTAATTTGTTTGCTAATATAATAGATAGAGATTTTAGTATTTTATAAAACAAAAATTATATAAATATTTGAGTACCATTGGGAGAAAATCTATCATCAGGTTTTTAATTATATTTTGTACTGGATATATTTTTTAAAAATTAAATAAACTATGTCTGGTACAAAATATAATTAAAAGCCTGATGATAGTTTTTTTTTTGTATCACTCATTCATATTCTAGATAGAGCCCGTGAGTAGTTTAGAAAGTAATCACAACTTAATGAGCTGGGTAAGTATAATAAGATTTGAGCTGAGAGTAGGGGCAAGATCCAAAAAATTAGACCTTTATATATATAAATAAAGCTAGAATGTACTGATATTTGGCCCAACCTGGCCTATATGGAGGCCTAATAATTATATATTTCTTAATTATAGTTGCATGATTATATATCTCTTTTTAATATTCTTATTTCAATAATCATACAACTCTAATTACATAATTATGTTTCTTATGATTTCGCTAGCTTTGTACATATAGTTACTTCTTTAGGTTATATATCTTATCTTAATACTTCTATTTCAATAATCATATAACTTTAATCATATAATTATGTTCTTCATATCAATTCTATTAGCTTTGTGTATAAAGTTATTTCTTTAGGTACAACCCAAATCTTTGCTATATAATGTATTTTCTGTTTTTAGTTTATTATTCAGTTGCTATATAATTTAATCTTTTTTTGGTTCCTTAGAGCATTGCCAAATTTGACTATAAGCATATATATTAGCTAACTATTATTAAGTATAAAATAACATTACTTGAATATAGAGCAAAAGGTGAAAAAAATATCTAAACTATGACTACGTCTCAAATAATAATAAATTTTACATTCTAATCTTTAATAATAAAATTTAATATATCTGATTATAGAATTTTTTATTCTATTTTATACAAATTGAATTATAGTGGATTGTAATTCTTAATGATAAGATTTGATAATTTGATATATCTTATTAAGAATTTATTAGTTAAATTAACTAGCATATTTTTGTATCTATCTATAATTAAATAATCATTTTTTATCGAATGTATTATAGTATTTGATTTTTTTTATTAATGATATCTTTTTTTTTTTAAACCTTTTAGTAATTTTATTAAAAGATATCATTAGCATTTGTTGATATCTTTATCAGTTATTGTTATCAATTAAAATATACTAATCTTTTCATTGGTTATTCAATATTCTTTTAAAATTGTAAACTAAGAATTAGTTTTTTTTTTTGAATTATACTGGTTTAAATTTATTATTTATAATTCAAATATTTACTACTATATTAACTAGATGTATTACTTTGATTATTTCATCTAAAATACAATGATATCTAACTATAGTAGTATTAGCATTAGGCAATAATCAATAAAATTTTCTTGAAATTAGTCATACAACTAATTAAAATTAAACATGTATCTAATAAGTCCAATAAAATTTTATTATACCCAATTAGTTTAATTGCCAACACTAGATTATATCATTTTTCTAAAAATTTGAACCTATATTCTTAATGTAAAAAATACCCCTGCTTAAAGAAATATCTAGATATATAATTCATTTTTGACAGTAACCAGAGTAGTTTTCTTTATTTATATCTTATATATTGTAAAGTATATACACACTACTCTGGTTATATGTAGTGTAGCATTATAGTAATATCACTATTTTTTTACTATATTGGCATTTTGAATTTTTTTTACTAATAGAAAAAATTGTTAGAGTAATATATATTTGGGTTGTATCTAATTGTAGTTTTATTTTATCATATTGCATAATTTTAGTTAAAATTTAATTATTTATTAATAATTATTTATTGTGGCAGATTAAAATGAAATCAGATTAAAATGAAATATATATTATATATTGTAAAAATAGACAAGCTATTAAAAAATAAAAATTTTTGAGATGCATTTTTTAGGGTTAGGGATTAGAGGTTAGTTTTAGGTAGAGTTTATAATAAACAAGTATAAGTAAGTTTTAAAGAGTTAAATAAAAATCTTTATTTCATTTTAATCTGATTTTATTATGATTCATAACATTTATTAATAATAAACAAGGTATTATTTAATGTCGAGAATGAAGCTGAAATCAGATGATGCTGAAATTTTGACCTATTTTATTATGAAATTTTAAAAAATTTTTGGGTCTTTTCATTAGGGTTTTTTTTTAGGGTTAGGTTAGGGTTTAGAGTTAGTGTTGTTAGTAAAAAAGTATATGTGAATTTTAGTAGGTATTATAGATTTAAATGGGGACTCTAAATTTTAGCATCAGCTAATTTCAGCATCATCCCCGACATTTAATATAATAAAAATATAAAAACAAGTATTATAGCCTTTTGATTCATCTTATTAAATAATATAAAAGTCTATATATATAATTATATAATATCAAGTTTCTTTTAATTTTTATTATATCATTTTGTTTCATTTTTAAAATAAACTATATTGATAAAGTAAACAACCTTTATAATTAAAAGCTTATTTATTTCTTTGATTATTTTTTTACTATAGCTACTTTTCTGATATACTAATCAAATCACAAGTATTCTTACTTCTGGATAGAGTAAGTAGAATCAATATAACCAAAATGAAAGTTAGATTTGCAAAAAAGACAAAGTTAATTCTTATTATTTTCTGCTTTGCCTACTAATATGTCAAATTACCTCATATTACTAAAGCTAATTACTATATATTACTAACTACCTAATTACTTTATACTTATATCAATTAATTAAACATATAATTGTAACTAGAATATCATATATTTGATTGAACAGTATATAAAAGCTATCTTGATAATTATGTAACAAGCAGCTATTTTTCTTTATTTAAGTAATATTCAAGAAGGATGTGCTATAATAAGCAACTTTTAAGTGCATCATAATACCAATTAATATATGGGCTGTGATCTGAGAAAAGGGCCGAAATTGACAAAAAAAAAGATCTTTAGAAAATTAATTTTTATATTGTAAATCTTATAATAAATTATAAGAAAAAGCAAACTTTAAAGAGCTATACTGCAAAATTTTATTAATACAACTGCTTTTGTGTCTTAAGTAAAAAATGATTCTAATCTTATTCTAAATTAATTTATATAAAAAAATATCTTTTGAAAAATTTGTCAATTTCGGCCTTTTTCTCAGATCACAGCTCATATATTCTTCTATGCTTAACTTTGTAAAAACTTGTAAAAAATTAATTATGATTTTAAAACTAGCAAATAATATCTTTAAAACATGTTTAAAATATTTTTTACTGATTATAGATTTATAACTAGTTGTTATATTATAATAATATTTTTTTTTAAAAAAAAACATTATTATAATATTGTAATTACAAGTTAATAACTAGTTGTTAACTTATAATTACAATATTATAATAATGTATTTTTTCTTTAAAAAAAAATACATTAATATAGCATTATAATTATAAGTTAACAACTAGTTATTAACTTGTAATTACAACATTATGATTATGTTTTTTTTAGAAAAATATTATTATAATATAACAATTACTATAATAAACTCATAATCAGTAAAAAATATTTTAAACATATTTTAAAGACATTATTTGCTAGTATTAAAACCATAATTGATTTTTTACAAGTTTCTGCAAAGAATCTATAGATAGAGATAGAAAATAATTTAAAACAGATATTAAAAAATATGAGCAGTGATTAGTAAAAATAAAAGATCTATATATATATATAATTTATAATTAATTCTAGATGATACACAAAAAATATATAGATAAAAAAGAATTAAGCCAAAATTATACAAAATTCTATAAATGAAACTTAGCAGCTAACTAAGTGAAAAATATTTTTAAGCCGATTTTACTATAAAGTAGGCTTATTTTTTAAAAATTTCTTTTTTAGTAACTAAAAAATTAAAAAAAATTAATTTCTGGCTAAAATTAAGGATTTTAAAGATTATTGGCCTAAATTACTTAATGCAGACTAAATATCTATATATTTTTTGTGCGGCAGCTAGGTTTAATTATGAATCATTTGTGCAGATCTCTTATTTCTATATATTAACTACTGCCCACATGTTTGTTTTAGTATTTATTTATTTAACTAATTTGTTTTAAACTTTATTTTAAGTAAATTCTATAATATATACAATATATAGGGTTGTATAACTTACCGTAAGTTATTTTTAAAATGTAAGTTACATTTTATGTTGTGTAAGTTACCATGTAAGGTAAGTTATATAATGTAAGATAAAAAAAAAAATTGCGAAAAAATTGTATCATTTATCAATTTAATATGCCTCGTAATAAAGGAACTTTTTGGGACGAATTTGAAAAAATAATAAATAAAAAAGGACAAGAACGGATGAAATATAAAACTTGTAATAAATCATGGGTCAAAAATGAAACACAAATGCAAGAACATTACAACTATTGCAAGTTAAAAAATTCTGGCAATAGTAATACATCAAGTTCTACATCAAGTTTTGTACATAACAATGACGATAATACAAGAACTATTAATCATAAACAACAAACAAAAATAAGAAATTTTTTATACAAGTTTACGAATGCGGATCAAAAAGAACTGGAAAGTTTGTTAGCACGTGGGTTTTATTCTGCTGGTATTTCATTTAATATTTTAGAAAATGATAATATAAAAGCTTTTTTTTCAAGGGCATTACTATACTTTAAATTGCCTATATGTTATTCTCTTTCAAACTCTCTTCTTACTAAAGAGTATTCTGGTTTAAACACTGTTATTAATTACTTACTTAATGAA